TGATGACGTCATCACTTCGTCGTACATGATGACGTATTTCCCTACGTGATGACGTAACTCGTTCAAAATCGAACAGCTTTTTTGAACGGCTCTATGAAACAAACGGCTCCCCAAGATCCAGATCCCTTCAAAGAGCCCTTTATCCCATCACTACAACTAACTCTCTCCCATGTGGAAGCCACACCTTACTACAAGCATGGCACAAGTGATGATGTCATCATAGTGCGACTCTATGCTACGGCAACCCAGAAAGGATAAAACGATACTAAACAGAATAACTACAAACCTACATTAATAACGAATGAACTTGGGCAAGCTTAAGGCAATATACAGGGTCTTTTGTACAGTATCATGTCACAAAGGTTTGTTTTTTCTTTGAGCTTTTTCTCAGTATTGTTTGAAAAATAGATGCTGTTTCTGTTCATTTAGATGAGATGAGATYGCTCAAAGCCGGTTCACTTACCTCATTTATTGTTTTATTTTATTGGTCGTGTGTTTGACCACGTGTCTTCTGTTTGCTCCTCCGTGTAGAAGCTGTCACTGCAGGGTCTCGTCGCTGGAATAAACGCATCTCTTGTGGACGCAGAGTCTCTGAAAGAACAAGACCGCCTCGTCCATAAATGCACCTTTCCTGCTCAAGAACTTCTGGGTACAAAGTTCAACTCCCAACAGAAACAGRAGCTCTGTTTTCAGCCCTTCCTTCATTTATGTGTCAGCTTTAAAGGAATCTCTAACTCCCTATCACATGCCTTTAATATGTCATCATTTCCTTATTCTACTAAAAGTTGTTGTTTGTGATGTGAAAACATCTAAATACTTTAAAAAATGTATATGATTATTACATTTCTTTCTTAAATATGCCACCATTTTGTTACTGATGCAATGCATTCTGGGGATGATGATGATGATGATGATAGGTTCCAGTTGAGTCGAGGCTAAAAAGCTATAATGTGGGACAATAAAKTTATATTTTGTATTAGTTTTTATGTTCTGCACAAATATAGGTTGAAATGATCGAACGTGATGTTTAGTAAATTAGCTCTGGAGCTAACACTATATATCACCCYCACCTATAAGTATAACTTAGRAGCTAACGTAAARGCTAAMAGGCTAAGCTAAAGTTCTCCTCCCATGAAGCAGCTCTGGTGTCCTCCATCCACATTTTCAGTTTCTGGCTGAGTCATTTCTAGATGTAGTAAATAACACGCTGACGCTCGTGCAACATATTTTTCTAATTTATAAAAACTAAACAGCCTACAGTAATTTTAGTCTCGTTTTTATAGTGTAATTGAATGTTAATGTCTCTGACAGTTTGTTTGCCTGAGGGGAGGATGGTTGCCATAGTTGACACCACCCATACGGTCCCGCCCATTCCGCCCAACAAAACCACTCTGCTGGATCCCAACTGCGGTCCCAGGGAGACGGACAGCGCCAGGGCTCTGTTCATCTTCAGCCTCACCTCCTGCGGGACCACCGTCACGGTGAGAATCCTCACTCACCCTGAACTCAAACATGTCTTCAAGCATTTCATCTGATCTGACCTCATCCCAGTAGGTCGAGGAAAACCACCTGGTTTATGAAAACCAAATCCGGTCCAGTCAGGACTTAGTCYCGTTGGAGGATCCTGTCATACACAGAGATGCTCCATACAGGTGAGAAGTCAAAACAGACTCTTGTTGTTTGATAAATCAAGCTGGTGTCATTYTAGGTTCTCTTTGTTGCAGGCTGACCATCCAGTGCCGCTACCTGACAAACAAGATGAGTATTTCTGCCATCCAGCATCAAACCAACGCCTCGTGAAGCTGCCAGCAAAAGTGTTTGTGTAAAACTCTGATTTAATGAAAGTATTAAATTTACATCAGTTTGGTTTTGGATTTGTGGTACCTCGATAAAAAAATCTGTGTTGAGAAAGATAAAAAAATAGGAAGTCTTTGTTTAAGAAATTCTGCTCTGAACATTCTGACTTTCTTTGAGTTTGTATTTTCTGCATGACATCACTTTTTGTACGTTTAAATCAGCTTTAAAGAGAAGCACCAACATAAGACACTGCTCCAAAATAATCTGTTTTCCTCTAATAATGATCTAAAACACCAGAAAACATTCATGTAAACATGTTTATGTAACGCTCACACATAAGAGCACGTTAATAGATTTTCCTTATTTATTTATCTTTAAACTAGTTTTAGTTTTGTCCTGTGTCATTGCTGCACATATTTAACTCATTTTATTAAATTAGTAACATTATTTTAAATGAGTGAAGTGGCAGACGAACTTGTTAAATGCTTAAATGAAAAAAAGATTTTTAGTTCTACTCAGCTTTTYATCATATGTTTTTATGAATTATCAACCAATTCTATTGCTAATGCAACAAACTTGAGTTCTGTTTATTAAAATGGATAGAGAATATTTTAAAGAATGAAATATAAACTCTTATTTTCAGTCACTTCATTGTGAATTAATTTTGTCATATTATTTGATCTGACGTTTCACACAAACCTGTGAAATAAATATAATAAATGATCTGTTTTATCATTTTGATTTAACAATATTTTTATCATTTTGTTTGTAATGTCTGTAAGCCTTACAAGGTGTAAAAGAGCTTGTTGGTGTTCTTTAGTTCTTTTAAAAATAACAGAGTACTGATAAACATTTTGAACTTGCAGCTGGTTTAATGATTATTTTATCACAGTAGAAAACAAGCATTTTCTAATTTTCTTAACTTTTAATGTGAGACTAAAAATAAAACACTAAGCAGGAGCAGAATGATTGAAATGCTCAAAATCGTAAATTTCAATGTTTTCTAATTGCAGCTGTAACCAAATATACAAATTATTTTTGGTGTGTTTATGACCTACATGCAAAAACAAACAGGATAGTTCTGAATAAAATATGACTCCCCCTGAAATGTATATTGTTGAATAWTAATTTTGCTGCTGCATTAAAGCTGCAGTCTGTAACTTTTTACAAAATATATTTTTGACTTATTTGTTAAGACTCATTATGTCCTGACAGACTGATATTAGACAGATAATCTCTGGAGAAAAAAAAAATCCTGGCTCCTCCCGGTGGTCTGCACATRGTGCAATGGTGAAGTGGCTCTGAAAACCTGGGGTGGAACTTTCCTGTTAAAGATTTTAGCAGTCTGTGTGTTTGGAACAGGAGTTTGACTTCTGACCAAGCATGGATAAAGGAAAAAGAAAGTGTTCAAAAAAACTTCAGTGAGAGTGAGAAGATACTTTTGAAGGAAATTGTTTCTAAACATCCCATAATTAAGGACAAACATCATGATTCAACCACAGAAATAAAAAAATGAAACACTGCAGTTGTGAATAAATATAACTCAAATGAAAAAGTTACCAACAGGACCCTCCAACRGATTTAGGCAAGATTTAATTATATTATTTACAGTACACAGATTCTTCTAATTACTCACAATAAAATGTATGTTTGCTCATATGAGGCCATATATTGCAACATCAAAACACAGCTGAAGAAAACAGCAGCCATTGCTCGTAGGGAGCATTTCAATACAGGTGGGGGACCCCCAGTTAGACCACCGAGCGATGACCTGGGGGATATGTTGACTGGATGACTGAAAATCAACAACCATTTGAAGGCATGCCAGATGATCATCTGGACAGTTCAGGWGGGGAAACTCTTCAACACTCTTTGTTACAATGTGTGTGTCTGTGTGTATTTATTGTTCTGCTTAGGTAAGCTAGTMCCATTTATGACACTATGTATAAAAATGAAAAATACTATTAATCTTATGTCGTGTAATTCTCTGTAGAAAAAAGATGAGCAAAGCTTGAATCAGATGTCGGAGGAGCCAGAACAGAGTCAGAAAAATTCAACCTCTGCACCGGTGGCAGCAGCCGGTATCTTCATCCCAGGCAGCACAGCCAGAGGGAAAAGGCTGATTATTCATGAAAAACTTTCTATAGAGTTTCATGAGCACAAATTGCAATCTAAAAGAAGAACATGAACTGAAGATGAAAATCCTTCGTTGTCAGTCAAAGAGATGGAGAGAGACATGAAGCAGCAGCAAAACTTCAGTTTTTTTTCTAACCGTGCCTCTGTTGACCTTGTGTCATTATGAAATAAAAATATTCCATTACAATCATGATTCAACCAAAAKTAATTCAAGAATAAACCACATTTTCTCCTCTTAACTATTTGCAAAATGATAAATGTAGTCAAACAAAATCAAACTGATAACTTGTGGATCACTCAACTGTTTATCTTCATAAAAAGTGYTKCACAGCAAAGCTGTTTCCAYAARCAGGTCCAGTTTGATCAATGGCTGAAACAAACTAATTWTTTCAGCTGCAGTGTTTTTGTACAAACAAAACYRGTCACAGAAATCTGTATCATCAAATCCAGTCAGCRGRTTGCTTCTGTCTCAGAGAAATCTCCTCTCTGGTCTTTGTGGTGGTCTTCCAGCATCATTGATGTAGTATAGTATAGTCAGACAATCCATTTTGCCCATCCACAGTGAAGCATACAGCCTTTAATCTGAAGTTAACCTGCCTCTGGCCAGGTTTAWTTTAARTCTTCATTTAGACCTGGATTAGCTCTAGTCTTCCTCTAAGAAAGAAGATTATTTAATTCAAGACTAGGACAAGTCTGGGACTACTGCAATCCATAACTAAGAAAGCTGTTTCAATAAATCCTGGTTTAAAATGTGATTTAACCTAGAACTAGGCTTAATCCCTGTACAGGAAACCGGCCCTAAAATCTTATTATATTTATGCATGTAGAAATATTCATCCCCAAAAAATCATCCATGAAGTTGGGGAGTTGTATTACACAGGAGTAAATTCTAACTGATATTTTTTCTACCACGATAAATGTACTGTGAATATTTTCTAGTATAGGACTATAACTGAAAGATTGTTTCACRGGGAATAAATCATCATGTTTTTTCCTGCTGAATGTCAGGCAGCTCACCWGATAAACCACAGCCATTTTTTTCACATGGATGTCAGGTGCATTTCTGCGAGCAGCTCTTCTTGTTAATTTAACAACCAGCTCCTGCTGTTGGATTGGACCAGACCAGACTGTTTTCGGCATCATGAAGCTTGCATTGCTGCCCTGTAGCCTTTGCTCTACAACCACAAACCCATCCACAGGTGTGTTTAGAAACATGCTGAGGACTGTATGAAATTAGGGACACCATTTTATACAAGGATCAGGTTTTTAG